AGGCTTTGTCTTCACTCATCTTGAATGAATACAAAACTTACTTCAGGTATAGACGATTAACCAACGATTTTATCATGTACAAGTGTAATACCCCAAATTTTGGCCTAAGATTTGTCGTTTCATCTTGCATTCCATTGCACTTTTGCATTGCATTTAACCAGTCACTAGCAAGTTCGTGTAGTTGGTCGATTTTTGCAGGAAAATATCATGTGGCGCGCCTTTTGGTTCATGGAGGGTAAAATGGTCATTTGTTCGCAGCCGACTGTCAAATTACGAATTTTGAGCTGTGATCAGGAAATTTGGGCCGTTTGATTTGGTTGATGTGAGTCAGGGTCGAGGTAGCTGAAATGGTTTGATTGTGGGAGATTTTGGGTTGTTGAACTAAATCGATTCGAGTTTTGGATTGAAGTTAGCCGGAGAATATGATCATTTGAGTTTAGTCAGGCCATCTGGATTTATTCGGATAAGGTTGTTATTTGAGTTGTCGGAAGGTGCAATCGGAAGTCGGATCGGAGACGAGATCAATCGATTAATTTGGTTGAATCCGGAATTAGGAAAAATAGAATTTTATTGTATTTTCATTTCAATTTTAAATCATGGTTATTTCATTTTCTTCAATTCTTATTTTTCATTTCTTTTGTAAATCAATTTTATAATAGCAATTTTCGTTCCATTTTTAAAAATTTTATTTTATTTTTCTCAGATTTGTTTCTACTTCATTTTAAATCATTTTTTCACTTTTCTTTATTTTTAAGGTTTGTAATTTCATTTTATTTTTAATTCCTTTATTTCCTTTGTTTAACTTTATTTTTTTCATTTCATTTTCAAAATCAATTTGACTTCATTTTAAGTTTTGTTTTGTTTTCTTTTAATTAATTTTATTTTTGAATATTTGTTCCTATTTTATGTTATTTTTAGGTTGATTTTTGTAGGCATTTCATACAAAATAATAAAAGAACAAAAAATATGCATTTCTTAAATAAATTTTTTATTTCATTAAGGAATTTTATTAATATTAATTAAAATTACAAAAAACAATAAAAATAAGATTACAAAATCATGAGTCTTTTCCGATTTTCCGACTCTTCCGATTCTGAGCTTCCAATTTTTTTCGAACCTGCAAAATAAGCAAAAAAACAGTGTAATCGGTTAGAGTTTTTCCTGACACCTTCAGAGTAGTATCATCATTGGGTGCGTTGGGAGGGCAACGACTAAAATCAGCAGCTTCTTTTCTTATCTGAGGCAACCAAAGAGAGAGAGAGATAAAAAGGATTTTTTCAGAGAAGTGCTTTTGAAAAAATCTGGTTTGAAAAGTGCTTATTGAATAAGCGCTTATTTTAAAAAGCGAATTTTCAGGAAAAACATTTTGCCAAACGTGGCCTTAACGCTTTCTCCTAGAAAATTCTCATGTTCAATGGATCAACTCAGTCAACAATCCAAGCGAACAGCCAGCAACAATTTTTCGAAAAAAGCAACAACATTTTCGCAACAGATCCAGCCCAACGAACCGTCCAAACTCCGCAAGCAACAACAATCAGTCAAAGCTTGCGACGATCTTCAAGCCAACAAAATTTCCAACAAACGCAACTTCATCATAAATTCGCAGCCCAACTCAAATCAAAGGGATATAAAAGGAATCATCAAACCCTAAGATCCAAAAAACCCTAAAGGAACCCAAAAGGGCGCAACCAAGATTCCGACGGATTCAGAAGCAAAGAAAGCTTCATCATTATCCATCATCAACAGGAATCGTAAGAGGGATTCAGGAAACCCAGATCGTAAAACGAACAAGAAAGTGGCGCCATCGAGGAGGTTCAGAGAATCCCTCAGGATTCATCATCATCATCTACTAAGAAAGCAAAAGGTTTAGAAGGACCAAAATCCGTCATCATAACCCAGAAGAAGAAAAGAAACCAGAAGAGGGTCATTGATCGCGAGTTCAGAGAAGAGAACGTGAGCTCATCACCGATCAACCATTAATGGCGGCAACACCGTCACCGTCCATCCACGGACGAGCGGCACCGCTAATCACCGTCGGTGGATAACCATCCAAAAGGCCTCAGAACGAAGTCATCACCGGCCAATAAATCACGGAATCCGCAAATCATCCTCGACGAAGAATACAACAAGCTCTTATCGCAAATAACATCACCAGCGGTCCGCGAAGATCAAAACCAATGTAAGACATCATAACGTGTGTTTCTTTATTGTTTTGCAGGGAAAAGAAGAAAGGAAAGCATGATGGACGAAACAAGGAGAAGAAGATGGAAAAATGTTGCAGAGAAACCCCATGAGGGGTCGCCGCCGCAGCTGTTTTGAAAATGGAGTTTTGTAACCCTAAAATTTTTAGTGGGGGGGAGGGGGGCTTTTTATCTATGGGCTCGGGTCGGGTCTGGGTTGATGGCCAGCCCGACCTCTTTTTGTTTATGTCTTATTTTGTTTCTGTTTTATTTGTCTATTTTTTTTAGTTTAGTTTAAATTTAAAAGCAGTTTTTAATAAAGTCTGAGATAATAAAGGTTTTTTCTAAAATTAAAATTAAAATTTTATTTTTAATAATTAACACAAATTTTCCTGAAAAATAAATAATTACATCAACTTTTCCTTCTTTTAGAAATTAACTATCAATTAACTGTTAACTTAAAAAAAAATATTTAGACAAAATTTTAACCCTCTAATAAAATTAAACTTAAAAAAAAAAATTAAATTCATGATTCAGTTTTAGTTCTAAAATAAATCTAACTTTTTTTTTTCCTAATTTTATAATTAACTTTTGATTAAGTCCATAACATTTAAATTTTAAATCTCTAATCTTTTCTAAACATTTCACCACTTTCATTCTAATTGAACTTTAACCGAAAATTCCAAAATAAAATTTCCGAACGTTCCTGTTAATGGTCATCTGACTTTCCTCTCTTCTAGTTGCGTGTGGTTTACTATTTTCTCATTTGGTTGTACTTTCACTTTCGGGTTGTAATTATGCGAGACATCGTCGCTATTGCTTTTTATTTTTATTTTTATTTTTATTTTGGGGATTTGTAATTTACGCGAGTGATTGTCGCGATGTTTTCTTTATTGCTTTCATTATTTCCGCATTTCAATTCCCGCCATATAATAACTCGTAGTCTTTTTGCATAACTTTTACCGTTAATCACCTTCCGAAGGATTAGGTCTAGCAGTTTGACCGCCGAGTCAATAGTCTTAACCCTAGACCGTTTCAAACCCTAATTAGCCTAGGTGTCCCGCCGTGGACGAAAATGCCCTTTACCCTAGCATTAGGTCCAAGAGTCGCCGTACTCTGTTTTAGGGTTTTCCGCCGTGGAACATTTAGTCGACCCTAATTTCAATTAACAATTTCAACATAGAAATAGGAGTTTCAAGACTCCACGTAAGTGTGTCCTTAAGATACGTTTATTCCCCTTGAAACCTTGACCATAGTCAAGAAGTTTCTAACTTCCCTTTCGAGGGGAACTACGATTACTCTGATTCCATTCCCTATCCAGGATACGTAGGCACAAGATGCGAATCTTACCGAGTAAACTTAGGATTAACCCTTAGGTCTTTAGGTCACTCTATCCTTTAGCTCAATAGATACTTCAAGCAAGTAATAAAATAAAATAGCAAAAATAAACAAAAGGTTCCTGTAGAGTACTACAGAAGTTTAGGGTGCTAGTACCTTCCCTAAGCTTAACCAACCCCCTACCTAGGTCTTTCCCCGCATTGTGTTTACGATGCAAAAATAGGTTTTCCCTCTTTTGACCTTTTCCTTCGGATAAATCAAAGAGCGGTTGTGAATCAAGAATTGTGATTCAAACTAATTAATAGTTTGATATCCTATTTCCACCGCAACAACAAGCCTTCAAGTTTCGTCCACACACCCGCTGCAGTTTTCTCCTTTGAAACCTGCTGGAGAACCTTATCGACAAGGCTCAACACAATGGCATTGTGGGCTTTTTCGACCATCATTGTCTTCTCCTTCTCCGATAGGGCAACATCCATCTTCTATGATCCTTTCAACGCTTCTAACAAACCCTGTTGAACAAGAAGGGTTTGCATCTTCAAGCGTCACAAATCGAAATCATTCACACAGGTGAATTTCTCAATCTCATACTTTGTTGACGACATCTTCTCCTCCACGCTCACCGCACTAGTTTGTTGTGAATTGATGTCATAAAGAACAAACCAAAATATGAGAAAAAGATTGAATTTCTTGAACAAACTCAAGAAAATCTATTAGATTTTATAAAAGATAGAGAAGAAGGAAGAAGAAGAATAAGAATTGATTAAAACTGTTTTACTATTCGCTTACTCAATAAGAATTCAAAGATTACAAGTGAATACCAACAATTAAGCTCTCTCAACAACATGAGAGAACTAGTCTATTTATAGACTACTAAGCTAACTTAGACTATAAACTAACTTAACAATTGATCTTATAGGCAAGACTCAATTTGACATACTAACTTAAATTACAAGCTAATATATTTTGACATTATATTCGAACAAACTTCGATTAGTACACAATTTCTGTCAAAACATAAAACTATTCTTGTCGACACTAGAATTCAAACGTACTCATGTACCCGTAATTAATTTAAAGAGAAATGATATTTGTGGTAGTTTGATAGCTTGTTATATTAATAGTTATATAATTGATAAATTAAAAATAGTCCAAGTGTCCGCGTTTCGTGGACCCATTAAAAATGGGAGGAAAGGAAAATATGTGTCGCTGATTGGTCTGAACCTTCTTCAAACCGTGTAAAACCCTCCTTACAAATTGAAAAGATGATATAACATTAAATAATTGAAACCGATGCATACTCAACTAAAATAGCACAAGTATAAGAAAATGCTACATAATTTCCAAGTCTTCTTCTTAAGTCTTCTCTTCCCAAATAACACTCGCAACCACCTCTTCTTCTCAGTTCTACATTCTCTCCCCGGTTTGGAACTTCTATAAGGTAATTCCACCACTCTCTTCTTCCAATTATTTCCTCACACAATGATAGGATTGGAACTCATACCAATAGGTACAATTCTAACTGTTGTAACAAACCAAGTTTTGAGAACAGCTCATGCTGCAGCTGATGTTCTTGTCGGTAAAGAGAGTTTCAAGGCTCTTTCGAAATATCTATTCGATATCGAGCCAGTACTAAAGGAGTTACAGCGTCAAGAACTGAATGATTCTCAACCTGCAAGATTTGCTCTAGAGTCCCTCGAAGCAGATGTTAAAAGAGCTAATAATTTGGTTGAGAAATACAAGAATCGCGGACGGTTCTACTTACTAGTTAAGTGTCGTTCGATAGTCGAGGAAGTTGAGCAAGTTACAAGGGATATTGGATGGTCTTTAGCTGCACTGTCGATTGCGAATACTGAAGTGCTGTCGAGGATTTCTGATCAGGTTGATAAGCTACAAGATGAGATGCAAAGAGTTGAGTTCGAGGCTTCGCAATCTCAGCTTGAGATTGTTGATAAGTTGAGCCAAGGTTTAAGAGATCAGAAGCAAGATCAGGCTTTCGCGAATGATATACTCAAGGAGATTGCAATGGCGGTTGGAGTTCCCATGGAACCGTCCGAGATAGGAAAAGAGTTGGCCAGCATTAGGAAGGAGAAAGAAGAAGCTGCTAATAGGAAAGAGAAGGCAGAATTTGTTTTCTTGGAGCAGATCATTAACTTACTCTCTAGAGCTGACGCGGCTAGAGATTATGAAGAAGTTAAGAATCAATACTTTGAAAGGGTTCAAGTGATAGAAAGATATGGTTCGAGGGAAAAATATATCGAACCGCTTAATTCTTTCCTTTGCTGTATAACAGGAGCGGTTATGGTTGATCCTGTTAGCCTTAACACAGGTACAACATGTGAGAGATCAGCCATTGAAGGCTGGTTTTACGACGGAAACAGAACGGATCCGAAAACAAAAGAGGTTCTTGAAGATACTAGCTTGAAGTCTAATATTCCGATAAGACAATCGATCGAAGAGTGGAGAGAACTTAATTATTGTCTTCTGATAAGGTCTATCAGGGAAAATTTGTTAACAAATTTTAATCTGCATGAGTCCTTGAGCCAAATGCAGGCTCTAATAGATGAGAATTCTATTAACAAAGATTGGATCTCGATTGGAGAACTTACCGATAATGTTATCTCGATCCTCGGGAACTCGAATGATAGAGAAGTGAAGATGAAGATTTTGATCACTTTGAAGGATGCTGTAGAGGGGCATGCAAGAAACAAGGTAATTAAACATGCTTATTTTTCTTTCTTGCAATACTATTATGAATATGTCAAATGTGCAATCGCCAAGACTAATATAAATTCAATATTTGTGTAAAATGTTATAGGAGAAATTGGTGGAATCAGAAGGATGGGATCATATCATTTCGTGCTTAGAAAGCAACTCTAACATTTCAAAGGCAGCGATTGATTTGTTATATGAATTGCTTCAAGACCGATCTGGTTGGAATCAATGTTTTTGCAAAAAACTTTCTGAGAACGACACCGCAGTTCCATTCCTTGTAACTCTTGTAAAGGACTCTGGAAATGATTCAGCCGAGGTTGCGCAAAAGATTTTAAAGGAGCTTTTTGAAATAAACGAAAGCAGCATTATCACTGCTGCTAGTTGTGGCTGGCATAAGCCACTAGCTGATCGAATGATTCAAGGTAAGAAAGTTGAATGTTTCTAGTTGCGACTTGCAGTATGTTTATTGTGATGAGATGTTAACTATACTTGTTCTCTATGCAGGACCTGATTCAAGAATGTCGATGGCAAAAGCCATAGTTAATTTGGAGTTGGATGATTTAAACTTGATGCAACTTGGCAAGGAAGGAGTTATACCTCCTTTGATCGAAATGCTGTCTGGAAGTATTGAATCGAAAGATTTGTCATTATCGGCTCTTGTTAAATTAGCTGGATCTCATGCCAACAAGGGAATTATCGCTTCCTCTGGAGGCGTTCCTCTTGTTCTCGATTTAATGTTCTCCCCTCGGACAAGGGCTTTCATTACCATTAAATGCTCCGAAATTCTTGAGAAACTTTCTTCTTCCGATGATGGAATTGATTTCTTTGTTGATGGAGAAGGGAAACAACTTGAGTTAGATTCCATCATCACCAATTTGCTACATTTGCAACAGACTTCGAATTCAGGCCATAACCTTCGAAAGCCTACGCTACGCGCTCTCCTCGGCATTTGCAAACTTGAGACTGGTTTTGTGAAGAAAGCAGTTCTTGCAGCCAATGGTGTATCTCTAATTCTTCCACTTCTTGATGATTCTGACTCAGAAATCCGAGAGACTGCGATAAACCTGCTCTTTCTTTTCTCTCAGCATGAACCAGAAGGTGTAGTTGAATATCTCTTCAAGCCTAGAAGACTAGAAGCTTTGATTGGATTTCTTGAGAATGACGACAACGATAACGTACAAATGGCTGCAGCCGGATTACTAGCCAACCTACCGAAATCAGAACGAGAACTAACATCAAAGTTGATTGAAATGGGAGGACTTGATGCAATCATAAGCATTTTAAAGACCGGAAAAATGGAAGCAAAAGAACAAGCTCTCAGCGCACTCTTCAGGTTCACGGATCCTACAAACATTGAATCACAGCGTGATTTAGTTAAACGCGGAATATATCCTTTGCTTGTAAACTTTCTCAACACCGGTTCAATCACAGCAAAAGCAATAGCAGCAGCTTTCATCAGTGATCTTTCCATGAGCACTCCAAAGCTAACAGATGTTTCAAAACCAACAGGTTGCTGGTTTTGCAGACCATCGCGCATTCCTCTATGCGCAGCGCACGATAGCGTATGCAGCGCAACAACCACATTCTGTCTTCTGGAAGCAAATGCTTTACCTGGTTTGATAAAGCTGTTACAAGGAGAGGTTCATGCAACTGCTTTTGAAGCAATACAAACACTTTCTACATTGGTTTTAGAGGAGTTTCCACATCGAGGCGCTCGTTTGTTGCATGATTCGAATGCAATGAGGCCTTTATTGGAGATTTTGAATTGGGGTAGTGAGTCACTTAAGGCAGAAGCTTTAGGACTTTTGGAGAAGGTTTTTGTGTCAAAGGAAATGGTGGAGTACTATGGAATGACGGCGAGATCGCGACTAGTTTGCTTGACTGGAAATAATATATATGGGGATGGCCATCTCAGAAGGAAAGCTGCTAAGGTATTGTCATTGCTTGAACGTTATTCTAAGTCTTCATCATCTGCTATTTCTGGAGTTTTGGAGTGAAGTGAAACTCTAGACCATGAAGTTGGAACAAATTATTAGATGTGAAATTCAGATATACACTAGTTGGTTACACTAATTATTCTTCTCATTTACTAAATAAGTCTTATATACTCTTTGATGTAATGAACTTTCATTTTACTTTTTTTCCACTTTTCTTTTATAAGCATACTAAATGACAGATCAGTACAGCTTCACTGTTATCCAGAATTCCGAGCGACCACACCTTGACAGCTAAAGAAACATCAACGAATATGGACATGGATCCCCTGAAAACATACCACTGACTCGACTCGATCACAGCGAAAGCGAAACGATGACAGAACCATTACTCTTGATAATTAACACTCCAGTTCTTCTCATAATAAATAAGTTTATGCAGCAAATATCAGAAATAGTCATGCCTGATGAATAACATTTCTATACAATTTCACTCCTGAATGTGCCTCCTCTAAGTGGCCTGATAAATATGATGCATATTTGACAAACTCCATTCTCTATGTTTTGTAAATCTTTCCACCAAATTGAACAATTACTCCCTTCCCAACTATCCTACCATTCGTCTCTCTGTACCATCTACTATTTTTATCGGAAAGTATTCTCCACTTCCATTTACTTAATAGTATTAAACTAAATGCTTTCAAGTTCTTAATACCCAATCTCTCCTCACTTTTGCCTCAACACACTCACCCCACAAGAATTTTTTGAAGAGTTAATCAAGTTTGAGAGTGATACCTGAGGATGCCTTAAAGAAAGAAATGGAGAAGACTGACAATGCATACAAGAATGATTTCAAGAGGATTGTTCGTCCGTGTTTATTGTTCCACCAAAATAGACTTCGCCTAACCGTATCCCTACTGGTTTCCACATTATTACTCTCCGAGGACTCCTCCTGATCGGTAGGCCCAGATAATTAAATGAGTTGAGGGCTGACACGACCTCCTCTAACCAAATCTAATGCGCATTAACTCCGATTAGTAGACTTTTGTCAGGCATGCATACATGACAGAGTACATGAACTAAGCAGAAATCAAATGAGCTACGTGACAGAGTACATGAACTAAGCAGAAATCAAATGAGCTACATTCAAATATTGTACTGACATCTTCTAAGTTAGTTCAAGAAGACAAAAACAATTGATATTTTAACAACAAGAAGGCAAATAACTTGAACAAAGTGCAACATTTGATCAAAGTATTGCAATTGCACTGGATGATATACAACACAGACGATCTTCTCCAAACATATCTCTTTGGCATTCCCTTCGGTTAAACTTGTAAGCCAATAGAAAGAACAGCTTCTGGAGATATACCTAAAATAAACAGCAAATGAAATGAGAAAAAGAAAGAACCCAAAAAGAAATACTAAAAGAGATTCGAATGGAAGGAGTGTAAGTTCACCATCAGCTTCATTGGCATTGGCATCGGCATCGACTGGCTGCTCGGGATAGTAACCTTTACGTTTCAGTGGTAAACCAGAATGAAATAAAAGACTCTTCACACGTTCTGAAGGTTGAGCACCAACAGAAAGCCAGTACCTAAAGAAGATGAAGAACAGTTATCCTATTAAAACCGTGGCGGAGAGTTCCGTCATAAAATTCATAAAGATGGATCAAAGTTACTTACTTCACTCTTTCAAGTTTGATACTCAGTTGTTTCTCATCATCTTTAGCTGAAGAAAAAGAAGTAAATAAAGTTAGAAAAGGATTTGATGTGTATCATCTAAACCCCTAACAGGTATAACAAAAACATAGTATGACAGAGAGAATTAGAATGTTAACCTGCAATAGGATTGTAGTAACCTACAACCTCAAGGTTCCTGCCATCTCTTGGATATTTGCTATCAGCAACAACAACCCTATAGAAAGGGCTGTGTATGCGACCATGTCTGGCCAATCGAATGCTCACCACCATTTTCACCTAATAACATCATAATTCAACAACATGTAACTCAAATTTTGAAAGGACAACACGCTCTTGCTGTGTAGCGGAGAGTTTAACATTATAAAGAATGAAATTGAAGAAAAAACAGACAAGGGAAAGGGAGGAAACCAAACAAACCTCTGTTCCGAAGCTAGTTTGAGGTTCGCTGCTGTCTAACCCCCTCAATCTTCTTATCTCTTATCTCTCTCTTTTTCTTTCTTTTAATACTCAATTTTATAATTTTGTTTGAAACAATATTTTTATTAATCTATTTTTAAATTCATTTGCTTTTACCAAAAAAGTAGTCATTTTAATTTAATTTTGAATTTCAAGAGAAAAATGATATTATCACTTTTGAATAAGTTGAATACTATTTTAAAATCAAAAGTAATCATTTAAAAAAAATGTTAGAACCAAAATTATATAAAACTCATCAAACATTTTAGATGAATTACTTTTTTTTTACAGTTCCCTGACTGCAGGAAATTATGATCTATTAAATTAACACAAGTTGGTTAGGAAAGTACTAATAGTAGTTAGTATAACTCACTTATTATTTATATATATATATATATATATATATATATATATATATATATATATATATATATATATATATATATATATATATATATATATATATATATATATATATATATATATATATATATATATATATATATATATATATATATATATTCTCTTAACGGCTGATCAGAATTTGAAGTGGATCAGAGATATATATATATTTATCGTTACGCATTGTGTTCTAGGCAGGTCTGCAACTAACCAAGTCCATTATGTTTTCAAGTTCAATGGCTGCAGTGAGGCATGGGTGAGGCATGGGTTCTTGGCTAACAAAATTTAGTTTAAGATGGGGTTTCTCCCTTTCCTTTATCTTGGGGTTTCCATTATCAAGAGTATACCTAAGGTCTCCTTTTTCCAACCGGTTTTTAATAAAATTCACATTAAACTAGCTGCTTGGAAGGCTAGCTTCTTAACAATAGCTAGAAGAGTTCAATTGGTAAACTCAATTATTCATAGTATATTGCTCTACTCATTTCACATTTACTCTTGTTCGGTTAGCTTAATTAATCAGATTGAAACTTGGTGTTATAATTTTATATGGAGTGGTGATATTAAGCACAAGAAGATGGTTATGGTGGCTTGGAAATCTTCATGTAAAGATCTTAAGGATGAGGGGTTAAGTATCTGTTCCCCCCGCGTAACAAATGAAGCTAATTATTTAGTGCATTGTTGGTGTATTATGAATGAGATCGGCACTTAGGCTTTGATTATTAAAGCAAGGGTTTTCAGGAAGGATCAGTTGCGAAAATCTCACATTTTCTCCTCTGTTTGGGCAGGTTATAAAGAGGCTTATGATGACTTAATGCAACATTCTATATGGAATATTGGAAAGGGTAATAAAATTAATTTGTAGCGTGATAATTAGTGCGGCAGGCCCCTGGTTTATGTGCTTCGGGTTCCTGCTGAAGGCAGGTTTAAGTTCCATTTTGAGTGGTAACTCAATCAATTTTCCTTTTGTTCTGATCTTTCTCTATCCCGATGTTCCTCATTTGGTCTCCAATATTTATGAAAATTGTTTGAATGAAGATATGCTTGTTTGGACTAGGTCCGACAGCGGAAAAATCAATGTTAAAGATGCATATACTCACTGTAAAAAGGGTGATACTGGTAGTGTTTGGGGTAAATTGATCTGGCACCCAAACGTTCCTCCATCTCATTTTACTCTTTTTTGGAAAGTTGCAAAGAACCATGTTCCAGTTGACGACATTCTTCAGATTAGTGGAATGTCAGGTTCGTCAGCTTGCAATCTTTGTTTCCAAAGTGAAGAAAATACCCTAATCTATTCTTACGTTGTGCTTATTCTCAGATGATTTTGAATTGGTTGTGTAGTATGCTCAACATAAACAATAGTATCTCTGATATGCATGATTGCTTCCTTGCAATGTCCAAGTCTGGTGTTGTGCAATGTATGGTGGTGTACCGTGCTTCTATTATTGTTGTGGGTAATGGCATTTGGCGTGCTCGTACTTATGCCCAATTTCATAACAAGTTTTTCCCTGGAGAACTACTTGCTCGTTTATATATGCTATTTGTCAGCTGACCGAAAATTCACTCAAAGGGTCCTCCTCAATGGACATATGTAATTTTCAAGTTCTGAAAAAGTTCTCAATTTTCATTAATCATTCTAGACCAAAGAATTGTTTGGAAGTCATTTGGAGTCCTCAATTTAGTTGGTGGGTTAAAGTCAATATGGATGGAGTGTCTGATAGAGTTCTGATTAAAGTGACTTGTGAGGGGATCTGTAGAGATCACTTGGGGAATCATGTAGGGATTTTTGCTTATAACTTAGGTTCTATAAACGCTCTTTTTACTGAACTTATGGGAGATATTTTGGAAATTGAACATGCATATGCTCATGGTTGGACAAATCTTTGGTTAGAATCAGACTTATATTTAGTTGTGATGGCATTCAGTAAACCATCAGTTGTGCTTTGGAAAATCAGGATAGATGGGACAATTGTACGGTTATTCTAGGTAAGTGTAATTTTTGGGCATCACATGTATACAGGGAAGGTAACCACTGTGCTGATAAATTGGCTAACATAGGTTTGGATATTTCTAATTTTACTTGGTGGAATATTGTACATCGGGCTATATAACTGAATTTTATTAGAAACCAGTTAGGTTTACCTAATTTTAAGATCAGATAGGCTTGAGATTTTGGCTCTCTGTCACCCTCATTTTTGTACCTATTCCTCTTTTATTTTTATTGGATTTTTAAGGGCTTATGCCCAATTTACAAAAAAATTACTTTAAGTTTAACTATGAGAGTTTCTTATCCCACCCCATGCCTTTCTTTCCCACCGTGTGGTTTTCCACAAATGCCCCCAGATTCCAGAGATATATCTCCGGACGCGCCCCATGGCTTAATAATATTCTAAAGATATATCTTCGGAGTAATTTAAACCTTAAACGGACACAGGCACCATCTCGATTATGCGACGACAACAAGGCAAGACATCCTTAGTATAATCCAACTGAGCTTGCTGCTCCTCAAGAATCTCCTGATGAGCTGGTCTCGATGGATCTCCTGGAGTTGTCGGCACCGTGTAAGGATGTGAGATAGGAAAGAACCACCTGATGTATCCGTCGACGTAGCTCCAGTCATTCAGCGTTATGGTAGCCCGAGCCTCATCCAGTACCAGATGACTTTGATAATCAGCAGAGATCTCCTCTATCTGTATACGATTCAAGGTCGGAGGTGCAGAGACAACAAGGTGTCAGGGGATGGTCTGGGTATACCCGAACTGCCGCATGATGCGCTCGGGCAGATGAGGAGCAGTGACCATCGACGAGCAGGTAAGCCATCCAGAGTATAGAGATATGTCGTCAAATGGCCGTGTTTGACGGTGATCCACGTAGCAGCTGAAGTGGATGTCCTCAGTAACCAAGCGATCAAGATAGACTCTGAAAGGCCCGGCCGCTAGTTCCCTCGTAGTGGGATAAAAACACAGGCACGAGGCAACTCCTCAGTGTACTCGTCCCAACACGTAGCGATGCGCGAGAAGTGATAGAGGATCCCAACCTGAAATGAAAATAAAAAAGCATTCAGGGATCAAGAATTATCACAAATATAAAATGAAAAAGATAAAAAAACAATCAAGGATATAAAATTATTACCACCAGTAGGGTCGTGCTGCCTCGTCGTCCACCGACATCCATTTCCCAGCTTTGAATACAGATACACAAGGCAAGTCACCCCTTAGTTGTACTCATAGATCCGTGTGAGATCCAAGAAGTATCAGAGGTATGCAACGTCGGTGTAGGTAGCACTCATGTCCACAAAAAGCACAGTGCCAACTAAAAATAGAAAATAAAACCTCAAAGCATGACTCATGTGGATCTCCACCCCTGGGCATCACCATCAGCTTGCGCTGCAGCAACGAGCGCCTCATCAAATCTCTCCTTCAAGAACGAAAACCTAACATGAGCACCCTTGGTCCTATCCACCTACCTCATCGCCTTCACTAGATCAACCCTTAGATGATCCACCATCATATCGACCGCCTCATTTTTGGTCATCCTACCATGATGTAAAAAAATATAGTAACAATGTGACTAATGTTAACTCTCCGTCCCAGATATGTCTGGCAGTGTGTTCTAGGTACAAAGGAAGTAAGGACATATCAGATGCACCCCTTCCAAAATCCTTTGGCTCGGCATCAGCAACATTACCCTCTAGAGGTGGCACCGATGCATTTCGATCAGCAGATGCGACTGAGTCAACAGGAGGTGGCACAGGTGCATCCCATCACAAGCGGGGGGATGGAGGAAGTGACACATCACTTGGTGCATCGTGTGGTCTGCGGGAAGAAGATAAAGATGGTGAAGTGAGCTGAGACATAGATGGAGTGGCCTGAGATGTAGATGGAGGTGAAGGCTGAACAATAGGATTGGACTGAGCCTCAGGAGTAGACTGTACACCAGCAGACGACGCCTCTCTCTGACCAAAGGTTCCTACTGCATCCGGATCCGACTGGCTTCGCTCTCGTCTAACGGATGCATGCTAAGTAACTCGTCCATGCCTCAATCGGTCGACTATGTCAGCCATTATGCCTGCAAGGTATAATATAATGAACCGTAGAATGAGTTTACGTAATAAGACAAAAAAAGAAAACAAAAAGAAGAAAAAAAATAGACTGAGACATTTCAAAGTTACATCTTCAGAAATATTCAACGTCTCATGTACTTTATGTGATTTCGGAGATACAACTACATAAACATTCCGCAGATGTATCTCCGGAATCACCCAGAGTACATGAGACGTTAAATATTTCCGGAGATGTATCTCCGAAACATTTTGCAACTCAAAGTTCGCGTCAATGGTGTCCTCTTCCCCTTAGAATGACAAATTTGAAGCCCTGATTGTCCATCTGAGCCAACAGACAATACTTTCATTTACT